CTGCCATATCCCATGCACAGCAACTGAGGACCTTAAGAGAAAAGCTGCTTTTGGACCAATTATCAGTTGCTCTTAGCTAAAGCATGGAAATCTCTACTCTCGCCACATACCATTGCCTTGCTTTTGTCTGGTATTTTTTTGTAGCCTATTCCATCGTATACATCAGAACAGAAGAGCGGCCATCTGAAGTGTTCCTTTACGGTGGGCAGTGGAAATATTTGACAGTCCTCAATCTGGTAAGCAAATCATGTTGTACAGTGATACCAATATGTCTATTTGTTTGTCTGCCATCTGCGCCTCAAGACATATGCAGCTGGTATATTTGCTGCTGTTAAACTGCTTCCTTTAACAGTTTATACACCAAAGGAAACTAAGGAGGGATCTGTGCTTGTCCTGTGAAATGTATTCACAGGTTTCCTGCAGAAAGAATATTGGCTGGTGAGCTGCTTGGCTTTCAGTAGGTACTTTGAAGCTAGCTGCCTCCCTGTAAAAGAGACAAGCTGTCATTGAGAAGACGGACAGAGAAGTAGAGGTATGTCCAGCCAGCACACATGCAAGTTTGGTGCCTGTTTTCTAACCTTTAATTCAATGCATTACAATGCTGCTTGGAGTTTTACTTCAAATTTTTAATAGACTTTTATGTCCTGTAAATTACAGAAAAGGTAAAACAAAACAGCACAGTGCTAATTTAGCCATTCAGAGTATATGCTTACTTTGACAATCAGTTAAGAACATCAGGGAAAGAAATTCCACCCTGTAGAGAGAGGTGCTTGTGACATTATTACATGAGTTTTAGCAGTGCTATCAACTGGTTGCTACATTTCCTAAAAGTACACAGAAAAGCATAGATTGTGATGTGTTCTGGTTCCCTTAATATGCTGACATTTCACAGGATAGAAATCAAAGTGAAAGCATGTGAGATACGCCAGGGGAGAAGGCTGGTTCAGAGCCCAAAGGGTTCATCATCAGCCCAAAGGGTGGTGCAGTGGAAAGACCAGGCTTGTGGAGAGTTTTCCTATAAAGGAAAAATTTCAGGGACACTTGCTAATTTGAAGGATGACCGCAGGGACCTCCGTAGCCTTTCATCCATTCTGTGTGACTGTCAGAGCTAAACATCAGTGGGAGGTCTGGTCCAGGGTATGTTTCTGCTTTTACTCTTCAGAATGTAACACCTCATGGTGGAGTTCAATGGAAGCCTAAAGGGTCCCCAGCTTCAAGAGGGGCTTTTGGAGACCCTGGGGGGCAGGTGAGAAATGGAGTCAACCATTCTGTGACTCTGTGAAATATTTGCAATGAAAGAGATGCTGAATGGCACGTGAACAACAACCTGGGGTTCTGGAAGCCACAGCGGTCTTCTCAGTGGCCAAGCCAGCTGTGGAAGGATGAGGACACATATATATCGCCACAGTCAGGGTGGCATTTGTATTGTTAATTGCTATGTTGTCTGGTATCTATTTGTTGGGGATAGCTGGCCCCACTAAAGTATTAGCCATATTTTCAGGCAAAACAGCATCTCCACTCCCACTCTCTGGCACCATTATAATGAGATCTACCATCCAGTATATGACACAGCTCTAAAGCATGAGATCAAGAGGACAAAGCAAGTAACCCACCTCCCAGTATTTTGGGATGCAGAAATAGTCACTGAAATTATCATCCCTCTTCCATTAATGACCAGCAGTGGATGATCAGGGAAAGGCTGCACAAGACATGAGTACATATATGCATAAAATGAACTTTCCATGGCTCTATCATCCCACTAGCATACTGACTAACCCAGACAGAATATAAATCCAGCCCAAGGTAGCTAATATACATTCAAAGCCTTCCCTTCATCTATCTAAAGGAAAAACATACCTTTTCATACTTTTGGTACTTTCCCTATCCTGTGTGCCACGAGGCATGTGTGCCTTGGGTGAAAGAGCAGTTCATTTTGTTGGTGTAAACCTGCTTCCTGACAACTGAACTGGATGCTTCATTACTTCCATATTGTAATTTAATCATCCATCCCTGTTCACATTTTCTTTGCCACTCATTAGAGACCTCTACCAGATTTTCCTCTCGTTAGTCTTTTCTGTAAACTGGAAGTCCAAGGTTTTTTCATCTCTCTTCACAAAGGATTACTTTTTTCATTAAAGCATCCTTGCCACCCTTTGCAGCAGTTTTTCTAGTTTCAGGAGGGAGTAACTAGGGCAGGCTGCTGTCGTTGAGTTATGAGTTATGAGATGGATTTATATAGTAGCTAAAGGTGTTTCCTTGTTTGTTGTTTATCTGTTCTTGACAGTTCTTAAATCTCTATTTGTCTTTTTTGATCACTGGTAGGCAAGAAGACAGCTAATTGAGACAGCTATCCACAGTGAGTCCAACATTTCTTTCCTGGATGGTGATAGCTAATTTTGAACCCACAGTTGAAAAATATATAACTGTAGCTGCTTTTCCTTTCTGAAAAGCGTTACTTTGCATTCATCAACACTGACTTTTGCCTAGTATTTGATCTCTCAGGCACTCAGTATCCTGAGATTCTTTGGCAATTTTACAGTCAGGTTTCACTTTGACCAAAAAAAAAAAAAAAAAAGATTCACAAAGGTTTACCACCTCAGTATTTGCTCCCTTTGCCAGCTCATTTCCAGAGCTGCCAAACAGTTTGCTTCTTATTAAATCTCCATGAGTGAGGGCCCTTGCCCCAGTTCCCCAGTCTCACATCTTTTAACCACTCATTGGTCTGATCCCAATGCTAAAATGGAGTTGTCAGCCAATAGAGAGATGGTTTGGGTTGAAGATGTTGCCTATCTCTCATGCAGAAAACGTGGTAATGGGATAGGGTGTGCAAAATTACTCCTTCATGGCCAGTAATCCTTCTTCTACAGAGATGTGGTATTTTTCAAGAAAGGATTACCAAAAAAGGGAAGAGGATTGGGGAGAGAAATGCCCTCAGCCCATCTTCTCCCATTGAACTGGATAGCATTTGTTGGTAAAATGGTGGTAAAAGATTCTCGAGCAGCTATATAAGACAGGAACAGGATGAGAAGACAATATGTCCCAGAATGCCACAGTGCTCTCTGTGGGGCTCCGCAGGACCTAAAAGAGTTGTCCCATGATTTGGCACTAAGGCCCTCCCTCTTGCTGCTGAGGGACATCAAGAGCTGGCTGTCAACCACACACATCCATCAGATGCACATTCAATGCATTAAATTTCTGCCAGTTTGGAAGCAGTCCCAGGAAACACCTTGGACTGTTGGGAGGTATAGTCATGGGGAAGAAGAGAAGGCAAAAGCTTCACATTGGGCTGTTCTGGTTCAGCAGATCTGCTGTGCTGGACAGGGCTGGGTGGTGCCTTGGAGGCTTCCCCAGAGCCAGGGACACAGAGACTTTGTCCAGCTCTTCTGCTTGTGTCCTGCAAGACTGTGATTGCCTGGCTTCTGGCACTGGCTGTCTGAATCACTTGGAAATTTTCCCTCCAAAATTTCTCTTATCTCCTTAGAATTGCATTTAAAAACTTCCCTCTGTGGCCAGCTCACTCTGATCTGAAACGGAAATACTGGGAAAAGTGGCATTTTCTGGGGACGGAAATGCCACTTGTCTCCTAGCTCTGCTGGAGGGATGCTGGAAAATATGACCCTCTTCTAGCACCTCATTCAATTCCTTCCTAATCATGTGGCTCTCCCAAGAGAGCTACAGCTCTGACATTATTTCAGATTCATCTTCTTAATGATCATAGCAATCAAGATTCAGAAAGGAAATGTTTTTGTAGGGGGGGGAGATAAGTGGGTTTTGTGTCAAAGGAGTTCATTGACTGATTATTGAACAAGCAGAAATGACAGATAAAAACAGTTTTGTATTCATTTGTCTGTGACACAAAACAGTATAAGCTGAATCATTCATTGCCTGAAATATCCAAGCTCATAAAAAACTGCTCACTGCTGTAAATCTATTAGTAAATCGCTGCATAATGAGCACACTGCACCTTTAAAAACTATTAATTGCATTCCTGCCCCAGTTTATTCCTTACGCTTTTGTCTTTCATAATGGAAATACTTTTCAATTCTCCTAAAATCTGTTTTGCATTTATTTAAAAATAGCCCCAGTATTTAGCATAGATATTTTCCAGGACACTATCATATGAATGGATGTGCGTCCACACTAAATGTTGACTGTTAACTCTAATACCTCGCTCAGAATATTGGATTTATCCGTCCCTTAAGGGCAGAGCTTGAAGCCCAATTTATTTGTACTAGCTGAAGATTTTCAATATACACATATGGCAAGATCTTATACACAAAAGTAAATCATGTCAGGTTAGTTAAACAGAAACAACCTTTTGATCACTGCAGCAGATAAAAATTGAGGTTTGTCTTTGTCACGATGAGTCTCGGTTTGGAAAATTGGTCTGACCAAATTAAATGTTTGTACAGCACCTAGCACCATGGAACTCTGTAGGGTATAAAGGGGAAAGCAGCCTCTCTCCAGCAGGGAAAATCATATCCATATTCTCCTCTTTGGGTTAATCGTTAGCTTTCTGAATGCTTCCAGTCTTCCTTCTGTTTGTGTGGGAATACTTTAGGGAATCCTCTCTATTTACAGCCAGTGGATTTATATTCCATGAGCAACTGAAATGGATTTGTGAGTGCCAGTACTGCTGCTTGAGAAATTCACAGGACGGGACATCTGGAATAATTTGATGCTTTCATGCCTTTTTTTTTTTCATGTCAACATTTTCCCTTTAGTGGAGGGCTGCAATATTTGGACGCACCTTTCTTACACGAATAACCTGTGTGGGTTTGGAGCTCTGACTTGAATCTACCGGGGGTGCACAGTGCCAGACTGAGCATTACTAGGAATGATTCTAGATAAGTTCAGTTTTCTGGCTTAAAAATTACTTGTATAATCTTCTATTGCTTCTGGAAATACAGAGTGATCACTGAAATGCCTGAAACCCCTTTGAAACTACAGTGATGAACAAGGGCAGAGCTACAGCAGCACACATTCAAGCTTCTGAGGCTGAGTTCAAACTTCTTCAGGAGTTGTTCTTCACGTTCAGCCAGAGAAATGGGTTAGGTTACATGTTCAGATAAGCATTTTCCATACAGAAGATAACATTGTCCTCCCCTGTGTATGAAAAAATGTTTACCAGGCTGAGAACGTGGCTGTTTTGGGACTGTTTCTTTTCAGAAATGTTTGTTTTACTTAATTTTGAAGCGGGGAAAGACACAGCCTATCCCTGTCCCATGATTAATGTAAGGCTGACCATGAACAAGATAATAATAGCCTCATCCTCTGGGAACCAGGCCTCTCCCTAATTGCTTTATTGGCAATTAGTCACCATGTGTCACCAGACTGTCACCACCCTCATGGTAATTTTTCATGCTTTTTACAGAAAGTTACTGCTGACTCTACAGGGCGTAACAAGAGCTTCTGTTAGCTCTTTTCTTAGCTCTTCAAGGACTTGGTATCGGTGCCCTGGTGAGGCCAAGGACTGGGCCTTGAACGTGTGTTTGTGTCTGAGTATGCTGCATCCCAGCACGGACTTTTCTGAACCAGACCCATGACTTAGAGGGCTGAATCCCTACTGACTGAGATAGTGCCTGCAGTTACAGAGGCTAATGGGAATAACGGGGAGAGAAAAACAACACATTTAAAAGAGCTGTTTTGGGTGCTTCAGAATTGAACAGAACCATATGTGGGTTCTGATGAAGATGCTTGGGCTTTTTTTTAAATATAAAATTGTGGTTGTTCAACCAATGCCTTGATAGGGAACATGGGGCTTTGCAGCTGAACCAGGTGATGCGTGATCTCTGATACCTTGTCCTTGGTGACCCTGGGCCAGTTACCCAGCCTGTATCAGCTCCTCTCTACCTCTATTGCTGCAGGTCTGCACAGGGAGGGGGGACACTCCACCGGTGGCACCTGGCTATAGTCTACTGTGGTGACTCTCTGGACTGCAGAAAGGATAGGGAAGGAAGCATGTATCTTTCCCTTTCCTGAGAAGACACAAAATGGATGGGGATTGCTGTAGACAACTGCAATTATGGTCATTTAGCTGCCCGGGAAGACTCAGCCTCTCCAGACTAAACCTTGCAGAAGTACTTGTTTGATAACATCCATGGTGAAATCATAGTCCCCTCATAGTCCCCTCCTCCCCTGAGATACTTTGATAAAAAAGGATTTTCTGATGGAAAAGCATTGCACTAATCCTTTCCCCTCCCAAGTACCACCCTTCTCAGCTTCTTCAGAAACTGATGAAGTAACCAGCCACAACTTCAGACACTTTGCGTTAAATAAATATCTGATTCGCAGTAGAGATCATGGCAAAAGAGATCTCATCCTGAAAGCTGTAACCCTCTTTCCATTTAAGTATCACTAGCTGGTCTAGTGTTTGCAGTAGTCTGCATTTCCCATATTGCATCACTCTGGGAGAATCTAGCCTTAAAAAGAAGGGGCCACCCTGTGAATTAACCAAGCTGAACTGACTCGGTGGGGAATGTAAGGCAGTGGGAGAAGTATTTTTTCGCAAGGCTCTGCCTTTGTGCATCTGACAAACTGGGTTCATCTTGATCTGCTGTATAGTGTTAGGAGAGAAAATGAAGCAATCAGAAAAGCAATATTGGCTTAAACCACAATGTTCTGACAATTTCACACATAATTTGCGGAGTTCTGTTTTGTGTGCACTTGCCTAATTCCTTACCAAATCCTCCTAGCACCCTCCCCAAACAATCCCTCCCTCATTGCTTGTAAATGATGTAAAGAAAGAAATAAAAAAAACCCTGAACCCAAAACACAACCTCTCATCCCTAAAATTCATTAGTTATAAATAGTTCTATGTAAACTTAACTAGAACTTCAGTGGTCTGGATCTCTGCTTCTAAGCACTTGAAATCCTTTACTGAATTTGAGTTCAGCAAAAGAGGTTCTGTTTTGGATAACTTCTGCACCTAATTCTCCCATTAGAGCATTTTGAACTACTTGACACTGATATCAACTGCACTGTGAGTCCCTGGAAAGAACCTGTGTTGGCTAAATGGTGGGAAAATCTATCTAGCAATTGCTTTACAGAAAACATTTCCTGGTGTATTTTATTCTCTCCTGCTCAGATACATCCAATGTCAACAATTAACATAGGAAGTGTGAGGGAGCTGGCTTTCAACATGTCCTTCCACTTCACCCATCTGAATCACATCACACATCTCTGTTTAGTCTAACTGAGATACTGTTAAAGTTATCTCCTGAACAACTTTATTTAATCAGTTTCAGCTAGTAAAAAAGATTTAGCCAACAGCTATTTCCCTCACGCAGGCTTGCAACTCACGAACGAAACAGCTCCCTGAAGAGCAAGGACAGATTTCATTGAGGTACATGCTAATGAAAGCTGGATGAGTTTTCCTCATTAGGTGTAATTACTTTAGATTTTGCAGGCCGTCTTCTATGGGGTGTCCTTCCTGGCTGATGTGTTGAGACTAATTAAGAAACTGCGATGTGCTAAGTGCGTAATTTCCAGCAGAGACCTTCTTTTCAGTGTCCTGGCTTTCCCAGTGTCCACAGTAAGTAACCTCTGTCTCTGTACGAGAAAATAACATTTGCATAAATGATTAAGGGTATATAGCATCCCATGTATGTGTATAAAAGAGATAAGAACTAAGGGCTCTCTTTTACCCTTGAATTTGCAATAGATTTGGACCATTTAGAAGAAGAAACAATGCTGAGCCTGTCATGGTTGAAAGCAAAGCCTCTTGCACAAACGTTAGGGTTACTGTCCTGGAGTGGACACAGACTGACCCCAAAGGGTGAATGAGGTGTAACCTCTCTGTTAATCTCATGGTTCAAATAGCTGTGGATTTATTAACTCAGGGCTTTTCTCTAAAGGGCAGAACAGGTCAGGAGGACATGAGAGGGTACCTAAGACGCAGCAAAACCTCACATCTCCTTCTCTAAAGCCAGTGTGGCTTTAAATAAGCACTGGAGAGAAACAGATTCATGGAAAAATAATTATAGTCACAGCTTATGTCAGATTCATCATGTGTCACCTACTCCCTCACAGACAATGCTGTTTATCAAAACACCGTGGGTTGGACAGGAACTGATGGGTTATTTATACATGTAGGTGCACTTTTTGAAAGTGATGCCTGCAGCCACCTCTGAATCTCAAAGGGCTGAGAAGCACTGCTTAAACATGGTCCACAAGCAGCTCAGCTAGCTGGTTCAGTAAAAATGTCCTGACAGGGATGGAGTCAGAGAGACTGGATAATTTGTCTTCCCTGCACAGCAGTATTCACAATGCTGCTGTCATATCCCCCCAGGCATCCCTATCGTGCCAGCTGGATAGAGGCTCGGTCTCCTTCTTCCAGCATCTCACACCCTGATTTCCAACCCTAACCACAAAGTGTGCTCCAATACAAAGCCAGGCCAAACAAAAGGCGAATCAGCTTCCAGGTATCAGTGACTGATACCAGGGATCATTTCCTCCAGTTAAGTTCTCCCACTGTAAATCCTGCTCTGTTGGGAAAAAAAGGGGGGCCAAAGTACAGCTTTCACCTGCAGTTTCTGAATTAGGTTTATGAATTGTGAAGATAAGGGTAAGACTATGTGAACTGTCTTACTAAGATCTGTTTTTACTTTGTCACTGAGCAAAACACAGGCTTGACAGACAGTCCCTTGAGGAGAACTCCTGGACCATCAAAAGATCCCATCTGCAAAGGGAAAGGGAAAAAAAAAAGAAGCAGCTAATCTTGGATTCCACAGAAAATGTCAGTGTTGGCACTTTATAAAGGAGGTTTTTTTCTCCCAGTATCAACACAGAACACTGCATCTCACAGTAAATGTGAGATAACATGAGTTTATCTGGCAGTGTCATCATTTTTCATGTAGAAAATGTTTTGCCTCCTCAGAAATGAAAGCACTAACCAAATCCTACCCTAATTATGTTTGTTTTTCTTTTCTAAATTTCTTTTATTTTGCATTTTGGTTCCAGTTTGTGTGTATATCCTTTTGGACACTGTATTCCTACAATCGAGAGCTGGTTTACCCCAAAAGCCTTGATAGAGTGATCCCGTTCTGGTTAAATCACGCTATGGTGAGTAAGAAACACCTCGGCCTCTTGCAGAGAAGAGGGAGACTTTGCAACGTGTGTCCCATCAATGCATTGTGTCACTTTCCAGAAGAGTTCCACAGCTTCTTCTTTCTCACCTCCTCCTTCCTGCTTGTCTGAATCTGATGTTGAGCTGTACACAGCAAGCAGATGCATGTGCTTGAAGCTGCCTCGAGAAGCCTTTTATCACACAAGGAATGTCAGTGAATTGGTGCTTGTCAAACCTCTGAAGTCAATGAAATGATGTGTAGTCATAAGGAAAAAAATTTCACTTATTGTAGCTCAAGAAAGAAATTGTCTCTGCTAACAGAAGTCTCTAAGATACAAAACGGCTGGGAGTATAACAAAGCAGCTCTTAATTTTTTAAAAAAGGTGAAATAACCAAAGAAAATGTGACAGGTCTATAGCTAATAAGCTAATGTGTGCACAGCTTTGAATAGCTGGATGGCAATGATTGTTTACAGATTTTCTGTAAATACTTTCCAGATTTCTCCTTCATTTGCTCTGGCCGTTTTTATGATGTGTTGAATAATCACATATTTCTCATCAGTCAAGTGTAAGGAGGCTGACAGTAACATAGAAACTGTGGGTGGATTGCAAGGTCAGGGAGGCCTCATGGGGCTAATGGGAAGGGGGAGAGAAGGGAGAGGTTCAGTGCTAGGCTGAATCAGAGGAGCCAAAAACTATGAAATAATCACATAGAAGACTCATTTCTCTCCAGACTTAATTTCTTAAGAATAACGCTTTGCAACCCACTGCAGCAGTTCATGATGGGTGTTGGAGGTAAATGTGGGCGGTTTTGCAGTGGCTGGTTGAGGACAGTTGCTGGAGGTTTGAGCACCCACTTGATTTGGACAGGCATATTCAGAGATGTGTGACTGGAATCCAAACACACATAGGCATGTCTGCATTGCTGATACCTGAGTGATAAACCACAGCCATCACGCACTTTTAACCTCATCACCAGCTCTCTGTCCACCAATTCATCTCAACCAGGGCCTTTTTGTGGCTGTCCAAACCTCTGCGAAAAGGTGCAAGAGGGCACCACTCTCTCTCAAAACCATAATCCACAAAAATGACAAATTCTTCATGTCCTCAGCATCATGCTGGTTTCAGGGCCAGGATGCAGTATGGGCAACTGGTTTAAAATCTTCGCAGTGGTGGAGGTGCTGGGGAAAGGGAGGGTACATAGTGGAGCTGAGAGGATATAGGCTTTGCTGCTTGTTTTAATCCCAGCACACAGCTGAGAATTTGCCCTTTCCATTTCCACATTTGTTTATGACATGGGAAGGTTGAGAGGCGCTAGGACATACCTTTTTATTTCATGTGCAAGAACTCTTTGCAGGAATCCCTCAAACATATTAGTTATAACTTCTGTCTTACCCTACCTACATCTACATTTCATAACAGAGTCATTCTGACAACAACAAAAAGCTTTTCCATATCAAAAATGTCAAAAACAGGTGATAAAAAAAGGAAAAACAATTCTTCCTGAAAATTATTTTGATGAGATAGAAACTTCGCATAAAGCAAACCTCTATCACAACCTAGTATTTTATTTCTAAAGCTCTTAATACACTGCAGACATCTTGTGCTTGACAGTTCCTGGGTGGGAAATTTTCCTTCCAGTCAATATCAAGTGTAAAACATGTGCCGCCAGCATAGACTGATCCCTGCTATTGACAATCCTTGTGTTTTGGCACACCTTCCAACAGGTGCCTTCAGGCTTGAGTGAGGCATTTCTTTCTTCCAACACTATCACTGGAAACACTAGGGAGCTGCAGGGAGATACGAACACTTCAAGGGACAATCTCCAAATTCTGATTGCCAAGCAGACACTTTTTCTTCGGGTTCATTTCCTTGCACTTTGCTGTATATTATGGCTCTGAGATTCCAGACATTTCATGGCAGATTGAGGCAGCATGTAGCTGACTTTGGGGGAAAAAGACACTGGTCTATCAGTAGTAAATGTCAGTGCCATATAATTTGCAGTGGGAGTACTTTTTTTTTAAATCTTGGTCTATTTTAATGTTGTAAATAGAGAAAGCATATGTTGTTATGTAACTGTAGAATAACCACACAAAATCACTTCAGGGATACTGAGCTGCTTGTGGTGATGCTGCAGCACCTTCCTTGCAAAAATGAACTGGCCATTTTTTTCCCTCACATGGACTGCTCTTACAGCGGGAAAGTGTTGTTGCCCACCAGGTAGCCCAGAGTTGTGGAGAGAGCACTACAGTTTAGGCATGTTTTTGCAGTCTGAGCAGAAGTATCCTCTGTTTTGCGGAAAGGATGGCTAATGCAGAAAGGAATTTTGCTAATATTTGAAGGGGCTAAATATTCCAGACTATCTGGGTTTCTCTCTTTGCTTTTTTCCTGAGTTTAATCCAAAGGCTGAGCCTCAGTTTCCACTTCTGTTTACCTGTGATAATTATGTTTTACCATCTTTATACAAAACTTAGAGCTTCATGGATGAAAAAAACCCCACCCTACTTATGTCTCAAGCACAATTATTTTATTTGAACAAGATTTCTGAAGTGGAAGATGGCTGAGACAGAAGATATGCTGGCCAATTTGTCAAGTGAATTTGTTTATTTCTTTCTCCGTCATCTCTTTCCAAGCAACATCTGGATACCCTCCAGAAGGCAACTAACTGCTGGAGACAGCTTGTATTAAACCATATGCATGTATTTTTCAACTTCACGGCAGTATTGGGGAATGCTACATTTTAAAGGGTCTGACAGAATTGAACACTAAACAAAGAGGGGCAATGGTGGTTCGGAAGAGATAACTCAAAAACAGTTTAATCTATAACAAAAGATACACGTCAGCCTTGACCAGATGTGTTCACAAAAAATGGTAGCGGTAGAATTGTCTTTTTGTAAAAAAAAATTTATATTTTCGGTCTGTAGGGCATAGTTCTTGTAAAAAACAAAATTTTCTCTATTTTCAAGCTGCAGCTAAGTTTAGTTCAGTCATCTCTTTTTCTAATTTACTTTTTAGCCGTGTTACACTCTCACCTTTACAAAAACCAGCATTTTAGTGTCCCGGGCACTTTACTGGCACATTGTTGAGAATAATGCATGTTCAGAGGACTTTGTAAGCTAAAAAGCTGAGAATAGAAAAGGAGGGATGGTAAATGGAGACACAGAAGAAATACATCTTACCTGGCAGACTTTCACTTTCATGTGGAGATGACAACAGACTCCACATGGTCTGAGCCTCTGAAGCTCCTTTGCACCTTGCCCTGATGTAGCTAAGCAGTATCTGAACGTATAAAAGAAAATGCAATGGAGTGAGAGAACAAGCTGTGTGCATACAAGTAATTTTCCTTCACTGAAGCAAGCCACTGATGCTCTGACAGTAAGAATACCAGCAAAATTCACGATGTTCCCTCTCATCTTGGAGCTTCTTGGTATATACAAACTGCTTGTGTTCTATCTACATAGCTAAGCCTTACCTTCCCCAGTGTGTACACAACTACATCAACAGAAATGGTATTTTGGATCAGTGTGATTTACTTCCATCTGGAAAATAATAAGTTCTATGAATATGAATTACTCTTACTGTCCTGTGAGGGTATCTGTAGGAAGGATTATATCTTACTACAGCTATTTTAGGAAGCTGCTGCATTACTAACCAAAAAAGGGGGTGCAAAATCAGTTCGTAGAGCAAAACCCACTTGTTCAGGCCACTCTAACTGGACCACTACTCCAGGTGTGTACACACGAACAACCTCAGGTTCATCTTTGACAATCTTAAATGATTCTCTTTGCAAGTGGTATTTAATGCTTAATAATTCTTGCATATTTATACAAGAGAGAAACATTTCCATTTGTTTGCATTTCACAATATCTCAATCTGTCTTGCAACAATGGACACTCATAGGCTTCCAACTACATTCAGCTTTTGGCAAAGAAGAATGTATGTGTGAGGGATATGGCACACAAAATTAATCACCCCACACATTTAAGAGCAAAGATGCTTAGCTTTTCCCAGCACTACATAGATTTTTTTGAAGTTTCCATTTTTTGTTGACATAAGCCCATTTCCTCAGGGAGAAAGTATGTGTTTCACAGACAAATGTTATGGCAGGAATCCTCCCAGACTGCTGCTACCCCAGTGTGCACAGGTGCAGCCTCCGTAACCCACCCCGCAAAGGAACAGCTGGAGACAAATATTCCACAGCAAAGGATGTGTCACTTCAGTCTCATGTCAGCCTCCAGCTGCAATGCAACATCAGTTTCTTAGACTACATGTCTAATGTCAGGGTGAAACACAATCAAAATTCTGGCATTGACATTGAGACAAAACATTTGCTAGTAAGCAATAGGATATTCAGCCAGGGCCTTATTACCAAAAATGCATGCATGCAAGAAAGAAACTTTATCTCTGAAACTCTTTTACCTTTGATCATACAATTGGTCTGATGTTTCATCCATTTTTCACAACAACGCTCCAAAACTACCTACATGTCTAAGAAAAAAAAAATTTTGCTTTTCAGATGAGCATGAATGGACCTGGAAAGGGCAGAAAGAGAGAGTAGCTGAAGGTTCAGACAGGAGTGCTGCTGGAATTAAATTGAGCAATAGCTTCCTGACTAATTTGCCACCACATCTGCTCAGTAACAGGACTCCTTGTACATCCCACTCTATCCATAAAATAAATCTGTGTTTCCCTGAAAATGCACCGATGGCTGAGAATATAAAAGATGTAAAATATGTAGTAACTCTAAGAGAGAATTATTTCTTTAACTAAACATGGCAATGTACTAGTTAAAGAAATAAAATGAACAATAATGCTTAAGCCATTTCCACCTCAAAAATTAAAGCAAGGTTAAGAGAGTAAGAAAAATGTGTAAGGATATATTGGAAAAGAAAATTTTGAAGGAGGCATTTGAATGAAGGCAAAATAATAGCAAAATAAATCTAAAGAGGGGATTTGTTCAAAAATTAGGCCAAAAAAGGAGAGAGCATACAGAGATTCAGAAAATTATGAGTATAAAACTAAACAGAGGTCATCGTGACAGGAAGCCATTTAGTTTTATTATGCTCAGATAACACAGGCTGTGTTTATGAAAGAATCCGACTGAAGGAAATTTCCATAGACAAGGGGATGTTTCCCAACAAAGAGCTGAATATCTGAGCAAACACCTCAAGGGTCAACCAATGAACACTGGCTTACAAGCCTCATAAGGCAGCACCAAAGTGGGGTTTTGCTTTTTCTTTGCAGTAACATACTGATGGAGGAGATAGAAGCATGAGTATTGGCCACGAGTGGTTGTCGGCACACAATCTCTGTGGGGAATTTGTCTGAAAGGAGAAACACAGGCAGTTTTTTGAAAGCACTTGATGGTCTCCAACTGTGCCCAGTGGAGTTTAGTTTGGCCAGCGGTAACTGTTTGTGAAAAAAATCCCTCCCTAAAGTCTCACATGTTAATGGAAAGCAGACATGGAGGGTATGTAAATGCAGACAAATTAGAAACAAACAGCTATGGTCAACCAAGGCATCATTTCCTTCACTCTGGAGTCAAACAAGGTCAAACCGAGTCAACTGCAACACACGCGTTGAGCATACGAGTGATCTCAGTAGCTCTGGGGAGATTATTCATGGGCTTAAAACTCAGCCTAGGCTGAAGCCTGCAGCTGAACACAAACTCTACCCAACCCTGTCTTCTCAACCCCAGGAAACTTGCTTGTGCTTGTATTCTCAATGGCAAAACGAGGATACAGCATTAAATAAACACACAAATTACTCAAAACATGGCAAGTAAAAGTTCCATATGGACTTACCAAACAGTGGAAAAAATATTCAGAGAGGACTATTTACCTCAGATTAAACTGATGAACCTGAAACGTATCCTGGGAAACATACAACACAGGGTAGGAAACAAAAAGTAAAGAAGGAGAAGAATGTTCTTCTCTGCAGGATATGAGTTAACGTGCCAATGTTTCAGATAAAGTTCAACATATGTTTAAGAAACTTTCTTCTCCCTGTATTCATATGCCAGAGTTTATGAGCTACAAAAATAAATTTGCAATTTTTTAACTAGTTCAGATTCACCTGAGTTTGTAAGGAAAGAAGCAAAGAAACCAAACACAAGTTAAAAATCATAAGTGCCAAAAAGAGACACAAAGGATTTTAAAATAGAATGTTTGGAAGCAGAATTCAGATTAAAAGTGTGATTAGCTAACCAAAGGCCTCTGATAATTTTGAAAGTCCCATAACTTTTATCTTTTCATTATAGAAATATATAAAAAAACCCAGCTTTTAAAATACTTCTGCTCTTGCAAAATTTGTAAGCTGAAAGCTTCCTTCAACAAACAGAGGTTGTTAGACAAGTAAATACATTAATATTTCAAAGAACAAAAATAAGTATTAACAGGATTCCTGCCAAGAGTCAAAAAAAGCTCTCTGATTCACTTTGGTTCATTGATAGCCTGATCAGTACACAGAGCTATTGTTTTAGCTTGTTTTCCTTACTTTGGAGAGAAAAAGGGTTTTTTCTCCCTCTGTGATAATTACTTTTTATACACTGTTTATATGTGAAACTGAGAAACTGTTAATTGAAATAAAAAATGACTCACTGTTTCCAGCAATTTTTGCCAATATTTTGATCTATGTCAATCTGAGCTTAATTATTAAGTTTTCTTTAAAGGAGGAGGCAAAACTGTATATTTTAATTTGGCCCCATACAAATACTGCACTCCTCAGATATACATCAGTTTAAGGATATGAAACTCAGCTAAATAGGGTTGAAAATATATTTAATGACTACGCACTAGAGACCTATGGTTAAAAATAACTTGAATGAGAAAATACTTTTTTAAAATTTTTTTATTGAGAAGGATGTGAGAAGCCTTTAAAGCCTTTCAGCAGATATGATTAACCATGATATATGGTCTATCACTAACGATGTTGCCAAAGTCAACATCTCTTTGCTGTGAGAGGAAAATTGTGTGGAAATCCAACTGTGTGTCATAGGCAAAGGGCAGGCTTTGCACCCTGTAGCCATCCTCGTGTTCCTCTGGTGTCTGCTGCATAAATACGCATCTGCTGTCATAATCATGCTCAGATATTCGACAGAAATTCCTCTGTGATTTTACTGTTAATGGACAAATTTGGCTTGGCAGAAATACGTGAAACCATCAGTGGACTCTGAGACAGCAGAAATGCAAGAGAAGATTTTCCCACATGGTTACTGGCCTGGGGTGTATGTGTACATGAGAAGGAATTGTGGACAAAAAGAAAAAACCTTTATATTCACAAAGGAAACATGATAAATGAATTCAGGAATCACTTGTACTGATACAAGACCTATGCAATCAACTAAGTGGTTGTAGAGCTGAAGAATATCTTTGTGAAAGAAAACAGAAGGAAACCTCAATGCCAGTGACTGAGAGAAACTGGAACAGCAAATGAATCTTTTCTATCTCTTTTCTCTGAAAAAAATGATAATGAAGGTGAAAGGGTTATTTTGATAGTAGGACAGCCAGGTATGAATAGCAGCTCCCAGGGGTGTTGGGAGGGCTGAAATAGGACATGCAGCTTCCAGGGAGTTGTCACTTGGCAGCAGCAGACAAAAATGGATGTCTGTCTCTTAAACAAATAGGTAAAGACTGTTTTCATGCATGCTATATATAGCTCAATGTGCATTTAAAGAATTTAATGTGTATTTGTGACAACTTATACTATAAATATACAGCAAGAAAACTTTAACACCATACTATCATATCAGATACTTAGCAAAGTCTCTGACAGATACACACATTAAAAGTGTTACAACCATTTCCTTGGGACAAGAGGAAACTTCATACCATACATCCAGCAGGTTGTGCCTTTAGGGAAAAATACAAAAGAAATCCTTAGTTTCACATTTTTTCTGTTTAAAAGTCTATCTTTCTCTGTTGCCCTCCTCCCATACCTCCTCCTATCTACCCATGAAAATATTTTCTTAATTAATAGGAATTTAACCAACTAGTCAGCTACAGTTGCTTTAGTTTTCTCCTTTGCATCCCATTGACTGTTTTTGCTGTGTTGTTCCTCCACATTGTTTAAGCCATCTCTCCTAGATATTGCAACTTGAAGTTGTTTTTTTGCACAGGGAATATTACCAAACTTTCAGAGGGGAAATTTCACCAAAACAAATTATTTTCTGAAATGGGAACAAATCAGTCAACAAGTTGAGGCATTAGCATCCCAAGAGCCTCTACATTGTCCATTCAACATCTGAGAGTAGAAGGCCTTCTGCTGTGCTCCCAACATCCCCACCTCCTCTTGGAGGCAGCTCCTCACCACAAAACAGTCAGTGCCACCAATTTGTCTGCACAGTGCTGAAAATTCTCCATGCTCAGACAGTTATCATAAAAGTCCTTGAAACTGAATCTACTTAATACAATACAAACTCTTTGACCAAAAAAAAAAAAGAGAGAGAGAAGAAAAACACGCTTCTCTAGCAAGCTAACTCCTTTCTAACTCTTAAATAAGCTTTTTTGAAGTTCCTTCATCATCTTCAATCACAGCTAACTGAAGTCCTCTGTATGTTTACCACCCCATTTTTCAGTTTACAAAGAGAAGCACAACGCACTGCAATTGCACTGGAGTAAGTAATAAATGACAATATATAAAATACAATAATGACTTGAAGAGAACAAAAAGGTAATTCAACAATTTCTTAATGAGTTCAAGGAGCAGACTTTTTACATCCTCAAGTACACATTACAATAGAGTTCAATAACTTTTGTACTCTAATGGGAATTAACAAAAAAATTATTGCATTACAAAATGCAAAAGGAGAGCTCACCTATTATAAAGTAACGCAGATCACGCTACAGGCAAACCTAATTACAGTACCTTTTACATCATACTAACAAGAAAATTATTGCGCTTATTACTGTAGGGGTACTTCTTCACTATGAAAAAAACCAAGTATGCACATTTGTATACACTTATACTCAGTATTGTTAAATAATCCTTTGCTTATAGGCAGGTGCTTGAGCTTTGTGATCACCAATAACTGAAGGTGAGGCACTGCAATCGGTCGGTGACAGACTCTCTTTTTTCCTCAGCACACAGCTGTATTGCCATTTGCTCTCCTGGAAATCCTTGCCTTGCCACACCGTTACCCAGCAAAGAGGAAGGGATTGATTCTATTGGGATTTGTTGCTTTTCTGTATATCAGTTGGTAAGAATTATATATTTTAAAATATTTTCTTCAAGTGATCTAGTTTGTAAAACAAGGCCAATTGCTGTACTTAGATCTAAGTTCTCGCCCAGGTACATGGAAGACAACAGTCTGTTGTGTGGAGAAATCATTTAAACTTCAGCTGAGACCCATGGAAACTATTTCCAGATGTAGGTAGACGAGGTTTCTTCAAACACAATACAGGTACTGAGACCTTACATAGTATCTTTTGCTCTTCTAAGGCCTCTTATAGAAAAGCAACTAAATTGCCATAAACTCCAAGGTACTCTGAGTTATTTCTGCTGGGCTGGGGTTTTTATTTCTACCAGTACCATCAAATTTACCTCCACTTACTCTCTGGCTCACTGCAAAAACACCAAATCTCAAAAGGTCTGGGGGTCATGGAAGCAGGAGAGGAGTAAAATTCAGTTCAGTATTTGGTAGGGAAACACACGGCTGAGTTTAGAAACTTGAGACAGAAAATGATACTCAGAGCCAGGTGCAAACCAACAGGTAGCAAGGAGGTGTCTGCCCCACTAGCACCTCCCACTCTACCTGTGGACACCGCCTACATTTCCAACAATGTACCACCGTTGATCCCCAACACGTTGGAGAACGATCTTGAGAGAATAAACTATATCTAATCAGCACACCTATTCCAGCCCATAGCCATCTGTGTGCCTCCTGTGTGTGTGTCATGCACCCCTGGAGCTGAGTTTGCATCTGTTGCATCCTGGCTGCAGCACCGGGGTCTGGAGGCACTACCACTCCATATAACTATGGACAGCTGCCAACACTCCAAAATACTCTGAGGATGCCTTATGTTGAGACTCTGCTCAGGAAGGGGTCTGTATAGTTTCAGGGTATGCTGTGATATCACTTTCCAGAGCTGAGGAAACATCCAGGCCTTAGGGTGGAGGATACAGAAGAGGATAACAAAAAGAGGATACAGGTCTGCAGGGAAGTGACCTGTCTTCATGCAAAGATTTCTGAGAAGTCACTGGGACTGTGAGGGAACCCATCATTCCCATTCCTACCCACCAGTTCGCACTATCAGCTAGAGACTACCTTCAGCCCACCAAATGAAAATTTGGAATAGAAAATGAACTGCACAGATGAAAGTCACACGTGTGACTTGAAACCCATCAGTCTGTGGAAGAGAGACTGTGGAAGCAGGGGACTTCACTGTTACATTACATAAGGAACTTAAGAGCCATTTATCCTAATCCAGCCCAGAGCCTAATAGGATTACAACCACGGCTTCCTAAATTCCTTTTCTATGTTCTCATTTACCCAGTTGCTTAACACCAGCTTTGTTTTGCTTGTCTTCCGACATTTGGGTTTTACTGTCTTTGAGACCAGACTGCTCTTCCAGCAACTAGTACAGCCATGTGTGCCATACCTTCCCCTAAATTTCCTATCAGCTGAGCAATTTCACCCTTCAGGAGACACAACTCATATCAGGATCTGAATCCACACCAAAGGATGAGGATCAACACAATTGAGCCCTCCCAGTATCTTCTGTGAGTTGGTGCTGCAAGGTGCTGCCAGGGTCCTGAGTGGAAGGTGGTCCCTTAGAATGCTTGGCCCCTTTGTCCCAGGGCCCTGATGACTGGATAAAAATATTAGGATTTCAATACTGCTCCCACATCAGCAAGGAACCTCCCATCTGCTTTCTTAAGGCCTCCTCTTCTTGATTCCCTGCAACCACAGACAACAGCTTTCAACTAACATAAAGAATTTCAGGCCTGTGCACTGAAGTCTTAACATAGGTACATATTTTACTGTTGGTGCTGCAACCTGGTGATTTAATAGTCCCATTGAGACACTGTATGTATCAAAAGCAACAGAGTCCTTCCTAAAAGCCTCCTCTTGAACTGCCACTGCCATTGCTGCAGTGTCAATGGGCTGAGAGCTGGTCCCTGCAAGGTAGCAGAGAAACTAAGCAACAGTGATGGCTTGCACCAGGCACCTGCCTCTGAGCAGGTTTTCACTGTAGCTTTGAATACCCTGCATAGACATTTATTTGGATTTGAGAAGACAAGGTGGAGTGCTTCATATGAGACACACAAGCTGGCCAAATTGCATCAAGATAATCTAGCTCCTCATTATATAAAATAAAGGCAGTTTTCATTCACTGTTTTACTGTTTGAGACACAGTACGGAAAGAGTAGTCCTGTGCAATAAGGAACACATGCTGACATTTGCACAGGCTCCAGTTAGCACCTGGTCTTCAGTATTTCTGCTCAGCCTCTCAGTGGCCTTTTCTGCAGGCTTTTATTTTTTTAATGACTTCTGTGTTACACAGCCCTGTTTGTTTGATGAAAGAATTTAAATCATGAAAATAAGTCTCTATATTTAAACATTTCTGTGCTCAGTCCAGACAGCTCCACTACCAATCCCCTCTATTTCTCCACTCTACCCCTTTGATGAGGATTAGTAAATCTCAATTTACAGGCAAGGTAAAAATCCACCTTTTTTATGCCCCACTCTTTCCTTCTCTAACTAGAGAAAGGAAGAATCATCTTTTCAAACTTTTTTTTTGTCCTTAGAATTCTCCCGTTGCTCAGTGTCAGGACACAGCTGTAAGATAGTAGGGCAGCCTGTTTGTCACTTCTCTTTGAGGAATGATGCTTAGTGTAAGGTAGCAGGCTGGTTGCCATCAGAAAGAGTGGGATTGCATTCCCATGTTAGCACTGATGGTGGAAAGTATGGCCTTCACCTTACATGTGGGGGTTTTTTAATCAAGAATTAAACCTTTAAGCACCTTTTGGACCCAAAGGTTTGTTTTAAGGAAGTGCTGCCCATTGTTAGAATGGTACAATCTTACAACAATCCCTGGAGACCAGCCCTATTTCTTATATTCTTTACATATTCAACACAAATATAAATTATTTCAGTCACAAAAATTGTATTCTTTCCTATATTTGGCATATAAAGATCACTTTTATATTCTTAAGTTCAGGTGTTTTCTTCCAACCACTCTTCTGAGCCATAAACAATGAGGATAGTATCAGTGAACTGACAGGCACTACAACATGTTTGAGAGAAGAAAAAAGCAGAAAGAGAGGGTCTAAGTAGAAGAAAATAAACCCTATAAAGCAGGTGTATTAATCTTTTTCATTTTCCTTCTCCTTCTTTTCCAAACTATGCTTTACAAAGAGTTCTGGAAAAAAGGAGTGAAGCAGCTGCATCTGTTTCCTACCTACCCATTCCTCCTCTCTTCCTCCTCTTAGACCAAAAGAAAAGATGCTGGAGAATTGTCCTTGCCCTCTTGCCTCCTGAAAACTTCTTTCCACTCCTCAAAACAGTGGTCAACAGCAGCAGGATTGAGGCAGGGAGAAACAGCACTGTGTCTCCACAGGCCCTCGAGATCTGGATAGGGGCTGAAAAGCTGTTGTAACTAGAGAGCAAACACATGTGAGAGCTTATTTGAATAAGCTTCACTTAGCATATACAAGTGCACATCCCTGTTCAGGAACATTTTGCTGTTTTAGTGTTATTTTACTGCTGTTAATAGCCAATGTCACCAGGGTGACAGCAGAACATTTTGTGCATTTCAACCTGCACTGAAACCCATTTAATTTTGCAGCAGCTTAAGTGTGCTTCACAGCAAATAGCCCAAGTGCTGAGGAGATGTATCGACAGCTGATCTAATTTTCTCTGTATCAAGACCGTTTTGATAACTTGGCCTTTCAGGAGTTAGAAATTGTGAAGTGGTTCTTCTAACTGAATGGTCCTAACCAAAGGTAATTTCTCTCCTTCCTTGCCTAGGGTCCTGTGGATTTATTCTGTAACAGGAGAGTGGGTATATCCTCTCTTCGCTTTGTTCAGCCCACCTGGACTAGCAGCCTTTTTTGCCGGTAGCCTTGCTGTCATCGTCTCTTTCTACAATTTTGGAGAGTTCCTCAACCGTATGATATGGGGTCGGTCCAAGTTTTGTTTATTACTTCTATTCATATGAAAACAAATAAAAAATGAATTGCTGTGATTGCCTAGGCAGGCAGAGAGAGGAAGGGGGCACTAGTACACTGAGGGGGGGAGATGGCATTTGGGTGTCTGATAGTGATTGCCAAGTCCTGCCCACTTACTAACAAAGGGAGAACAAATTGGAGCAAGGATCCCAACCCTACCAGAAAAAAGGCCAGGCCAGCTTTCTCAAATGTGGCTAAAGAAGCACCTCTTACAAGCATAATCACTGGTTTTGAATTCCTACTCAAAGAAGGGTCCAGAGAAGCCTTGTCTCCCAGGCTAAAACTCTTACACCTGCATCACGTGGTGTTTGTCAGACTAGGGAATAGCACTGTTTACTGACAATTTATAGAAACGCATTACTGTATCCAAGCAAAAGCATCGTGGCAGCAGCGCCATGAATAAAACAGCACTTCAGAAAGTTTTACAAACTCTTGAGAATTTCTCCCTTCTGCTTTGGTAGTGGTATAACTGGTAGTGATTTAATGAAAATCAAAGACAGCTTTCTTGGACAAATGGGCAGTTGGGAAAAAATAGTTTAGGAGGACACATTCAACAGTTGGAGGAAAGAAAGAACTGAGGAAGCACCTTCGGGTGTTTGGCATTGGATATTATCATTATTGTTGTTGTTACTGTTGTTTTTGTCATCATTATCCCTTCTGGTTTCCTCTTTCCTTTTTAATTCAATATTAAGTTTTTGAGGATGAAAGTGTTTCTGTCAGAAAAATGTGCGTATTTTATTTAGGACAAATGTGTGAACATTTGCAATTTCTTAAACTGGCTTTCTGATGAAAGAAAAAACACTGCAAAAACACCTCTGAAAATAAATAAGACAACCTCCCTCTGTTCTCAGGGAACATTTGATGCCTGATCCATTTTGCAAAGTCTCACATGCCTGTCAAGCCAAAGTAGAGTGTCTGTAGCTAGTCTCTCACCATCCATACTCAGCTACCTAAAAGCAGCAGATTGACTTTCAAATGTGCTGAATAACCAACTTCACCGCTTGATACCTTTGCAAATAAGATGCTTGGTCTGCATGTCAATGTTTGGAAATTCTGGCTGCATTCTATTCTGCATAAACATGATATGAGATGAGGACTGCTGGTAAATGAAAACTGATTTGCAGCCTTTCTGCACTAGCTCTGGTTTAAGATGTATCACATAAATAGTAACTATTACCAATCAAAGACCACATCATCACTACAAGATGGTGTGAGTCTTTATATGAGATATCTGATACATCTAGGTATCAGATTTTTTTTCATGTCAGAGTATAGTAATTTCAGGCCTAGAGTATGCCTGATGCATACATTGGAGATAATCAGAATTAAAATAATTTGATTTCCAATGTGTTAATCGATTGGACAAAAGGTCATACTAAGCAGAGATCAAATTAACTGCAAAAACACATTGCAAACAGCTGACTAAATAAACTGGGACAAGCACTCAACTCTTCTGTGCACACAGAAAGGCTGAAAAGCACCCCCAGTCATGGTAGCATGAATGCAACCCCAGAGTATGTATATAAACACAGCACATACGATATTCTCCATTGATACAGGGTGTGCTCTTGTGATGCCTGGAGGCCTCTTGTGTGTGGTGGGTCTGCCTCTCCATGCATACTTGATATTTTTCAAAGGAGCCATAAAATCCTGGCCTTAACAATTACATGGTGTTTTCACCCATGTGCAAGATATTTCCCTTGAGTTACAGTTCCCCATGTTGGTGCAAAGTCTTTTTCCCTATTCATTTCCCAGCTGCGTCCACTCAAGAGAAGGGTAGGACTTCCTTAAGCTGGTGTTGATAACAAGGTCCCAATAAGCACTGAAGCACAGCCACAGGGAAACTATTCCAAATTACAGTGTGCCAAATTCTTAATATGTTCCTGATTGAGACAAATCTTTGGCTCAACACTGCCAGAATAAAAAGAGCTGCAAACTGAATGAAGACACAATTCCAACATATCTTTGTTCCCCCAGAAAAAATGGCTCCATGTACCTTTTTTCATACTACCCTTTCCCGTCTCACCTTCCCATCACAATAAGGCAGATGATGCAGTTAAAATGACCCTGCAGAAAACAAAACAAAACAAAAATCAACCCCCCCCCCAAAGCAAAACTATCTGTGGTGGTAGAGGACAGACCTCTTCATCTTTCTGTACTCTCTACTCTGCCCACCTCCCGTCTCCCTGAAAAGAAAAAGTACACAGAAGGGCACTTTTGATCTCTCTTTTGCTTCCTGCTCAGTCCCCCAAAGGCACAGTTTGGGTTACAGAGCAATGTAATTATCCACTAGGTTCCTCTAGGCGCATCTGAAAACACTTTCTTCAACAACACCTGGAGCCACTGAGTAATTAGACCTGATGCTGGTGGGATCTGACAAGGCAGAGCACCCTGCCCTGGCTGCTGGCACCAGGATCCTCCTCAAAGGAAAAAACTCCAGGGCTGTTGCTGCTTTTTCTTTCTTTCTTTCCCACTCAAAGGAAGAAAAGTTGCTGAGTTTGTGCCCAGATGTGTTTACTCGAAGGTGCAAGAAATAATTAACAAATAGCTCCATCACAGTGGTAAGCCTGATTTCCTTCTGGACATAGATCCTGTGGCAGACTGTAGGCTGCAAATGAAGATTGTCCCACAGCATAGCATGCTTCTTATGGACTCTTCCCCATTCCTTTATAACTCCGAGCCACTATTACTTTTCCTAAAACCAGCTACATAAATATTTACTCTTTTTCACACTTAGTTAGTTCCAACTTATTCCAAAGACTACAGATGGCAGCTTTCAGCTTCAAGCAAGTAATTGTCCTGTGCTTGACCAAAAGGATACAGTATCACTTCTGAGAGCTAGAAAATCCAGGCTGTAGAATAATATAACCTTGTTTTTCCTTTTCAGAACAACCAGAAGATGACATACCCTAAATTAATTTTATTATTTATAGACAAACTGCTTCATACAGTATTGGATGTTTTAAAAATGTATTCTCTCTCATGTGCCTCTCCCTCCCCTTGCACAGTTGGATTGGTGGTAACTAAGGCAACCCAGCTGCACAGCCTGAGAGGCACAGAAAATAGTACCAGTAATGACTTCTTTTTGTTTTAAATCCCAGAGTTTCTAGAGTACAAGACAATGTTGAGCAATACAGAAACTCCAAAGAGGATAATTTGAAACAATGAGCTGATTCTTTTACTGCCATAAATTTACCTCAGCCAACAATTTGGCTGCAGGGTCTGAGTACCAAAGATCAACCACGTGACAGCTTCTCCCATTCCTGATGGGTGGAAAACATCACATAGGCAACTGATCTCATGTTCCTTTGACCAGTCAAACTAGAATCTTCAAATATAAAGCAAAGCAGTGTTCCCTCAGGTTTTGCTCTTGTTGAGACAACCAGATCCTCAGACAGAGCAGTATTTCAACTGAGATTTCTTCTCTAGAACCAGCATTTGAGGATGGAGCAGATTCATTTGTCTTCCAATATATCTGAAAAAAAAACCCAAAACAACATTCATCAGCTGCTTCATTTCAATACTTTGAAATGTAGGTGGAGAGAAGCTATAGCTAGCAACAACTACCTGCTCCACCAGTGATTGAAACATCTCCTGAGGGATACCAGGCAAACCCCTTGCAAGGTTTTACAGCCACAAGGCCTCTACCAAGTCCAGAGGGACGCTCATCCCCAGGTGGTAGAACTGTCCTTTGGGAGAGAAACAAGGCAGAAAGGGAGGAAGGGAGGCTGACTGTCAGAGCAGGCAGCAGCTCCAACAGACCCAGCTGTATGTTTGCTGTATTCCAAAAGGGAAAGCTTTGGCCAGCAGCTGGCTGAGGAACATCAGCAAGGGCAAAGCCAAAATTAAAGATATTATAAAGCAAGGGATAAGGCAGCACAAAAAGAATAAGCCATTACTCTCAGGAAAGAGAGAAAACTTATGGTGGAGTAACTTTCTCATGCTCAGTGCACAGATGGATGTGCTCCTCCAGATCTTCTATGAGCTCTTGAATATCTTGGGAAGACGTTGCTGCATCATATTTATGTATTTATTTAAGGCTGAACTAAAGTTAGGTAGCAATCTTCTCATTAACCTGTTTTTCCTCTCCTTTTCTGGAGCATTTCTGCATTAAATGCACTTTCCAGAAACATGTAACATGATTATTTTCTCTGAGTTTTATTTTTGTATTTATGTGCTTTTGAAACCAAGTTCTCTTGACACCCTTTTGCTAGATATTGGGAAATCCAGCCTATGTGTCATCGCACAAATCTCTGCAATGCAAGGCAATACTGTAAAAAGATAGAATTCTTGACGCTTTCATTCTTCTGAGCAGACCTTGAGACTGCAGAAACCCAAATGGCAAATAAAGGGATGCAAAGGGCTACTGTGTGGGGTACGAAGCTGTGTTACGAATGTACTGGTACAGGCTTATGAACAGCAGTTTTTGTATGCATGTTAAAATGCTGATGTTTTGCAGGTAGTTATCACTCCAGACACTAGTTACACCCTTAGTTATTGCAGTATCCAGAGATTCTTAAACTCAGACCCCTTTCCAGAAGAAATCTTAATTTGTTGTATCATGCCTTTAAAAAAAAAAGAATGAGTCCAAGTCTATCTCTTCCTTTCAGTGAACAAAAAATGTTTATATCTGTAATTTCACTATATTGCTGGTGATGAATGGAACTCAAATTTAAGAGGATTTAAATCCCAGAGTTTGCAAATATGAGTATTTACTTTGGTCTCATCCATTTGTCGTAGTTGTGCCACAAACCTGTGATGGCATATTTATATCTTTCATCTTTGTCATTCCCCCAAGCTGCAGCTTACCCCTAGAGACAACTGGCTGTTTAAAGGAAATCTGCACTACCTCTTACAGCTTTGGATAAGCTTTGGTGATAAGCTTATCTGATGATCCACTGGAGGCAGACCAGATCAGCAGCTGTGGCAACCCAGGGCTTACAATTTCATCAGTGGAGGCCAGACATTAACAGGTGCTGGTTAACATGCTGGCCCTGGCCTAAGAGGCTATTTTTTTCTTTGTGGTCTTCAAAATATCTGTTTGGTCTGTACAAAATACAGGATCATTTGGGAAGGAATAAATGCCAAAATTCTGTTCCATATCAGGTCAATCGCCAAACGCTATGCAGGCTGGAGAGAAATAAAATACAGCAATTAGTGTTTCAGAGCCTCAGAGGTGTATGGACATGGAAGGAACATATAAAAGAGAGTCACATGTGAGTGAATGATCATCATCAGGGAAGAAGAGAGGCTGAGACAGTGCGTTAGATAATGTACCCAAATATATTTGATTATTGCCACATGTGGTGCCCCACAGTAGCACAACTGGTCCCTAAGTGGTGTTTCAGAAAGCTGTGGGATTTCAATAGGTCCTGTGCTGTCCTGACCAGCCACGTGAGGATTCTCCAGATATCCAAGTGCAGGGATTAATCTATCTGCTGCTTTTCCAGACAAGCTTTATTTTTAAAGTTTTTCACATACTCTTACCCCAAGCTAGGTTTGTTTGGTGGTAGATACTTTCTCCCACTGGCAAAGCACAATTATTCTCAATGGATGCGGCCCATGGTACATTTCAAATCATTCCTCAGTAGTTGAGTAATAGGTTACTTGCTGGGGACATCCCAGGCTTATTTGACTTCTGCAGCACTTTAGCATTAGCAGCTGTTCCAAGACATGCACTCGTAGTTTACTCCCACTCCCAGATGGGTAGAGTTCCCCAGGGATGTTGGGAGGCTGGGCCAGGTTCACATCCTCCTCCTAATGGGCCTTCCCCCACCCTGTATATCCTGCCCCCCCAATAATATCTTCTCCTCTGTGTCCAAACAGGAGATTCAATAGTAATACTGGACCACAAATTGAGAAGCAAGTGAATCCTTCTCTTGAAGCCAAATGATCTCTCCATGAATGCTGAAGCCATGAAGTAGAGGAAAATAAATGCAGCTGTGATAAATCCTTTCTCCAATGCATTGCAGCTTCTGGTGAAGCCATTATGACATCAGACATATGGAAAACTGGTGGAAAATATGAAATGTTTGCCTCTTACATGATAACTCTGAAACTGCTATGAATAAGAAAATTGTGTTCATCTGTTTACACAGATTTCTCATCTCTTGCACAATGTACGTGAGGATGTGTCCATGGTTAAAGCTCGTCACTGGTAAATGCTCTCCCTCATGAGCTTGGCACCACTCTGTGAAAGACCTGTGAAAGCAAGCCAACTCTTGTTTGGATTGCCCTTCATCAAGTCTGGAAAAAATTAAGAGGAGAGATAATTTTAACAGTGCTGTGACTTCCAAGCTAGCTAGATAACAAATTGGGCTAACAAGGACTGTAATTAGAAATGTCTGCTCAGAAAGTTCACCATGAAGCCAAGTTCTTCTAATAAGAAACTTTCTGTAACATTAATATGCTTAATATCTCCCCTCCATTTTAACAGGAAATCTGAGGGCAACACTTTCTTCATTTTTCTTGGTTTCAGTTAATCTCACAGCAAAAGTAACCTAATTATACTGACTGTATGATTGCTTTGACAGAAAGCATGTTAATTTAAAGCACTGTTTAACATAAAGCTGCCTGCCATATAATTACACTCCATTCACATGTTTACTAATCTTCCTCAATATAGTTGATTTCTGTTATTAGCCTCAACATTTTGTTAACATCTGAAACACTGGAGATCTGCTTTGCAAACTCCAATAAACAGGCAAGCCTGAAAGTACATAAGTGTTCCATAATGGTCAATGTGAAAAAGAAAAATCTTTGTTATTATTCTTGCATTTAAAGAGGATTTGAAACTAGTTGCAGTACTTAAATGTCTAACTCCATGCTCATTGCCAAAACCCTTGCTTAGAGCTACTGTGCAAGCAGTTCACTGGGGTGTTATTTTCACCTTTCAAACACTGCTAGAGCTTAGTAAAAATGAAACACATTGTAAGCTGCCTGTGAGCAATAAAAGATAATGTGTATACATAAGATTGTTCTTCTCATATGCTAAGCACCTGATAAAATTCTAATCTGGGAAGTTAACATACTAGGCCTAGACTATAAACTCAGTTAACTCAATGAAAGACATGCATGCATTCAGTATTTCCCAGCTTATCTAGATAACTCGCTTTAGCTAACTTTGCAAGGGGAATGTAAACAGTTACGTCCCCACACACAAACACATCCCTCCCTCCTTTTCTGTTGAAGCTAAAGGAGAACATGGAAAGAATTCAGCTGGAAGATGCTGGTGAGAGGAAAGAGAGAGAGAAGAAAAAACATGAAGGGAATTAGGGAAGAAGAGAAAGTGCAGGTTTGTTGTGCATTTTTATCTCTTTCTCTCTTTTTTTTTTTTAATTGTTTTATTTTGTACTTATAGTCCAGTACAAACAGTTTAAATGTCAGAAACTCAAAGTCTGGTCCCCAGAACAGAGGGATAGGTCTTTCCACTTCCAACCAGAGGAGCTGAATGGCAGATGTCACCCTAAGCTCTTGCTCACACCAGGGTACCTTTGGGATCTGATGTGGTGACTGTGCTGATGGACTACAGGGCATTTAAGGAGGATTTGAAACTAGAGCTTTGAGGAGAATCATGGGGGAGGTTGTTTCTTTCTTTGAAAAGGGCTCAGAAGAGGCACTGTTCTCTGCTACATCCTGGATGGAGAGAAGGTGGATTCCAGTCATGCACTTTGGGAAAGCAATCAGGAATGCCTGTCCTCAGAACACAACTGCTGGGATCTTGGGCTTGTTTTGCTCCTTTCTCTGATGCCCTTGAAGCCCTGAAAGGAGGAAAGCATGTGTCATTGCTCACAAATCAACGTTTTCCCTGTGATTTCCAAAAGGCTTTACTGAGGATCTGCCCTTTACGACATTTACACCAGATTTCTCTTTCCAGTCCATTACCCTCTATCATTTTATTCTGAGTAAGTATGCAAAGTCAGTCAGAACTGTTTATTTATAGCCGTAGATTTTCATGGCTGTATAAATTAGATGTTATTACTGAATGAGATGCCCGCCCACTCACCCAGCGCAGCTGTACAGCAATCCTTTCATGGTGCTCCACGGTGCAGTCTCAATGGGGAGGGAAACGATGTCCTCCCAGTCAGACGGAGGGAATGCTGCTTAAACCCTTGGGTGAAAAAACAGCAATTATTTTTTCAACGGTGCAATCTGCAGTATGACAACCACAATTAACTAATACTATTTAGACCTGCCACTTGCATCTGGCAGAGAGAGAAAATGAAGGATTAAATTTACCAGAGGAAAAAAACCACCTAAACTAGAAACTACCCCTGGACTTTTGTTTTATAAGATTAAGTGGTTTTACTTTGGAGAGAGTGAGTGGGATGGGAATAGTAAGGGGAGGTAAAAGCAAAATTGGTTGTTAGTTGAGACAGAGCGCCA